CAAGAACGGTGACAGATCCTCTTGAGAAAACCACAGAGGAATTGACCTGATCAACATTGCCTCTAAACTTCTCGCTGCCATGATACTTTACCGATTGTCTGCCGCACGTGAACAGTGCACGCATGACAACCAGGCTGGTTTTAGACCTGGCCGAGTTTGTATCGACTACATCTTCACTCTTCGTCAAACTCTGAGATCACCGACATCGTTTTCGTAGACTCACCATCTCTGTTTCCTGGATCTGAAAGCGGCTTTCAACTCAGCCGAACGCTCTCAACTCTGGCGCTGCCTGAAGAGAGTACCCGGTGGTTTTTTTCAATATTACACTCCTCTTATAATAATAGCCGAAGTCGAGTCCGAGCTTACGGCACTTTTTCGCCCGAGTTCACCACGGAAAGTGGTGTTCATTAGAGTTGCTCTCTCTCCTTTTTTATTTTTAAATTTGTTATGGATTTGATTGTGGAAACAGCCCCACTCTCGTGCGACGATAGTGGCATCGATTTGCTTCCCGAAGGCAAACTGTCTATTCTGGAGCATGCAGACGATATTGTGCTGCTAACTGAAGATCCAGGTAAGTAGCAAGCTTTTCTGGATGGCTTGAGTTCCAGCATAACCATGTTCGGTATGCGTTTGGCAACTTCAAAGTGTAAAATGCTACTACAAGACTGGGTTGGTTCAGCAACCTGCCTCACTCTAACGGGGGGAGTATTAGTGCAGTTTAGTTTTCAGTTTGTTCAACCACCATTCATGCCCTTTCGTGCGAAGATTTTGGTTGCTATCTTTTGGCTGAACAGTAGAAAGATGGGAAAGCTGAAAGTGCACTCGACAAGAGAAAATTGAGAACTCCAGTAAGCTATGGCTGCGAATAAATTGAGAAGATGCACGAACGCCACTGTTTACGACACTCAGCCATATCACTCGGTGACCCTAACAACCGGTTGCGATCATCTCGAGGTTCCGATCCAGTGTGTGGTCGTAACCAATCACGTGCATCACACACGGTTAATACTAACTAGATTTCTTAATTCACTTCAGTTGTCTATCCTGTTCAATGTTATGAGTATGCGACCGATGAGAGTATACAAAAGGAATTCCTCTCGAAGTGTTTATCTTTTGACTTGCCTTTTCAAAGAATAGAACATTCAAGGTAAATAAACATGATATATTTTGTCCGGCATCCAATCAACCCTTTATCGACATCAAACCGCCTTCAAGTGATTGGTTCTAATGCCTGCTTACAAAAGAAGGATCGACGGAATGGTTTTGGAGTCGCTTTTCTGTTTAGCAAGAAATCTTACAAACAACAGAAACGAAATCCTATGCCAGTCTTATTATTAGAAACGTTATCGAAACCATAAAAAAGAGGAACAAAAATAGATAGAGGTAATTAGTAAAACTTACCATTTTCTCTTCCCATAAGGTTTCACACATTCCATACATCTGCTCAGTGCATGTCCCACTAACAACAAAATCATCTGCCTCCAAGATGCACCCGATGAGGTCCATGGATGCGATGTACGGCTTCTCAGTAAAATGATCAATGCCAGCCACTACAGGTTCGACAAAATAAGGACCGAACCTGGACAACAATTAGGTTCGTAAATGCCGCATACCTTCGTTCATATAAGAGGTTGGATAACATAGTAGTGAGTGTTTGGGGCTTCACGGATTTGTTCTCCCGTAGTTCATAAATATTTTTCCNTATTTTTCCTGAATTGCAGCCTCTGGAAACTACATACATTAGGCTGAGATAGGGCATCTTACACAGTCTGATTATCAGTCACAAGACCAGGAAAACCAACGAACAGCCGAGGGCCTAGCTGATGAACTTTGGAGAAATCAGTGGAAATTGTTTGCAGATTCACGCCAAATCGAAGATCTGATGCGATAGCCGCACAATGATCACCCGCCATCGCAATGACCGCCGAACCATTGTAGGAAAGAATACTCTATGAAAGCATTATGATGAGCAAAACACGACGAACCATTTCTAAGCAAAAAGTCAAAAGGCCGCCCAAACTGTGCACTTGCAACCTGGTATGTCCAATTTGTGTTTATGGTCAGGTCAGTTCAGTTCGGTTCAGTTCAGTTCAGTTCAGTTCAGTTGCACAGGACAAATATGGCTCTTGCCAATCGAGCG